GTCTAAGGCTACACGGGGGATCTTCGTCTTTGTTTTTGTTGTTTGTACGGAATAGTGATATATTATTTTAGCTATATATACGCACACAAAAGACAAAGATCCCCCCTCTGGCATTGCCTTAACAGACTGTTGGGGCAAGTGCTGTTAGCGAGCAGCACCTATGAAGGCCGGCACGGCACACGAGGGGGTGGGTGGCCAGCACCACGCCCGGCCGCCTTTGTCTCCCCAGTAGCGATGTTTACTACACACCGCACGGGCTACTCGTTTGAGGCTGAGTCGACCTAGCGGAGGTCCAGGAACTGCTCAAATATTCACTGTTGTTAAACTATATATACACACATAAATACACACGAGTGAGTATGTGGGGAGTGGTGGTGTAGTAGCGGGTTAGCGAAACTGCGCTACGAACCCGGCGAGCAGAGTTCGATTCCCGCTCACGGCCAACACCATCGACGATTATCCAAACTGGTCCTGGGCCTCTCCTAGGTCGACTCAGCCTCAAATGAGTACCTGGTGGCCGGGCGTGGTGCTGGCCACCAACCTCCTCGTGTGCCGTGCCGGCCTTCATAGGTGCTGCTCGCTAACAGCACTTGCCCCAACAGTCTGTCACAGGCTATACGGGGGATCTTTGTCTTTGTGCGTGAGGAGCTGGTGTGGCTGTGTGTGTGTGTGTTCAAGGAGCGGTGGCGCAGGGATTAGCGCACGGCGCGACTGCTTTCACTTGGCCGCGATCGGGAATCGAACTCGGTTGGACGGGTTCGTTGCGCAGTGCGCCAACCACTGCGCCACCGCTCCTCCTCCCCCGCCCCCACAACACACACACGCACACACGCTAACGCTCACACGCAAACGTGTACATGTTGGTGTGCAACAACACAAGCGCAGTGCACACACGCGCATCGGATATACGACACAGATGGAGTCCGAGCGATTGATGCACTTATTACAATTGTGCTTTGGGGAAGGGTCGTTGCCCGAAACGTCGTCTATTATTATTATTTGGCGGGGGGTGGTTATTTAAAGGGCGAAACACAGAGCTATTGTCGAATTTAGCTGAGGTTTTTTTTTTTAAAGTATATAGTTTAGCAATAGTGGTGTCGAACTAGACAGCCAAAAACGCACAAATATAGCCGAATTTAAATATTGATTTAAAGCTTTCGTGACTGCAGTGATTCATATTCTTGGTTCTTTCGGTAAAGTTACAGAAAGAACCAATAAATATAGCCGGGTCTGTGATCATTAAGACAACGTTTGTATTTGGTTTACAACGTCAGATCTTGTGATCTACAGTATATATATATACACACGTGTTTTTGTATTTTAATCCGTTAATATAACAATATTTATTGTGTGTGTGTGTATTTTTTAACTAAGTTTTTTTCGCAAAATAAAAAAAAAAGCGATAGAGTTGCTCGGATGGAGGACCCACACATGCCTTGTCTGGTATAGTTCACCAGCATTGGGTTCAAGCGATGCTGCTGATGAGACACTTCACGTCAAAATCGGTCCGTGTCTACAAACAACTGCCCGTTTAACACGTAGGCTTTCGCGACCAATATTATTCATAATAACGGTTTTTGGGTTAGATCGCGTTTATTTATAAATGTGTCGTAACCCTCCACCACCCGACGCGGCCAATCAGCAAAAAAAGTGTCACGTTGACAAAAGACAAATAATTCACTACTTTAGCCCACCGGTGTGTTGAGTTAAGTGATGACGTCACCCTGCTGCTCTATATAAAACCGGGAGCAAGCGAGGGCTTTACCATTCTGGCGAAACGTCGTACTCAAACTGTAAATGTGGATTCACTCTTCAACACACCGGTGGGCTAAAGTAGTGAATTATTTGTCTTTTGTCAACGTGACACTTTTTTTGCTGATTGGCCGCGTCGGGTGGTGGAGGGTTACGACACATTTATAAATAAACGCGATCTAACCCAAAAACCGTTATTATAAACAACTGCCCGTTCACCCGCTTTGGTTCAAGCAAAGCCCGACTGCCGATGATGAGACACTAAACGTCGAAACCCGCCTTAACAGGCCTGTGGGGCAAGTGCTGTTAGCGAGCACCTATGAAAGCCGGCACGGATACACCAGAGGATGGGTGGCCAAGAGCCACGCCGGGCCGCCTTTGTCTCTCCCACCCCCCCCTCCCCCCCAAAAAAAAAACATGGCGCAGAAAGGATCCCCTCGTTATCCGACGTCTTTTTGCACACGTGGCGACCCGTTCATGAACGCCTCGGCAAACATTGCCCGCTGACGCTGTTAACCTCACGGACGGCGTTCAGTGATTTCAAAGCACCGCTGGCAACAGCTCCCTCCTTCAGTCTCGATAAATGAAGGTGGGGAGATGTTGCGAAAGGAAACACCTCGTGCACAATGTATATATATGTTCATGCGCCCGTTGGTAAGAAAGTTAGAGCGGGGATTGGCTAAAGTCCGTGGGGTGTCTGTAAATGGGTCGCCGTGTGTGTGTGTGTGAATATGCTGGTTAATCTCCATATATATAAAAGGCAAAGTTGTGATTATGTGTCTGTTCAAAATGTTGAGCGTACTTCCCGACATGCAACTAACTGGAAATTTGCCATGTGGGTACTTTCCAGACTGTACACCATCCTAAAATTATAAAAATACACTTTTGTATTTTTTTGGGGGGGGAGCTCATTAATGCATCTATTTTTTTAGCACGGCAAGTGAGCTGTGACGTCAAATCTGTCACGTGACCCGCGCATGTGGAAGGGTAACGCATTGTAGTGTAGCGGTGAGCGCGCTGTCTGTGTGTGTGTCTGTGTGTGTGTATCTGTGTATGTATCTGAGTGTGTGTGTATCTGTGTGTGTATCTGTGTGTGTGTGTGTATCTGAGTGTGTGTGTATCTGAGTGTGTGTCTGTGTGTGTGTCTGTGTGTGTGTATCTGAGTGTGTGTCTGTGTGTGTGTGTATCTGTGTATGTATCTGAGTGTGTGTCTGTGTGTGTGTATCTGTGTGTGTATCTGTGTGTGTATCTGTGTGTGTATCTGAGTGTGTGTGTGTGTATCTGAGTGTGTGTCTGTGTGTGTGTATCTGTGTGTGTGTCTGTGTATCTGAGTGTGTGTCTGTGTGCGTGTCTGTGTGTGTGTATCTGAGTGTGTGTCTGTGTGTGTATCTGTGTGTGTATCTGAGTGTGTGTCTGTGTGTGTGTATCTGTGTGTGTGTCTGTGTGTGTGTGTGGGGGGAGCGGTGGGTGTAGTGGTTAGCGCTACGCCGCGCTACGAACCTGGCCACCCGAGTTCAATTCCCGCTCACGGCCACCACCGGTGACGATTATTTGAACCGGTCTTGGGCCTCCCCTAGGTCGACTCAGCCTCAAACGACTAACTGCTGTGGTGTGTGAACATCGCCACTGGGGAGACAAAGGCGGCCGGGCGTGGTGGATCCAAGTCCCTGGCGAAGCCGGGTAGTACAGCTAGTAATACGTAAAGAAGAGCATTTCCCAAAGTCGCTTTGGGAAAGTATAATTCTACACTTTTACACCATGTACGCATATTCTTTGGTTCTTTCGGTGAAGTCAAGTAGATGGAAAATGAAAAATAAAATAAATAAAATAAAATAAAAATATACCCACTAAGTTTCGATCGCAATACAAGCGGTCTCTGTTTTTTTTATCTCCGCCTGATGAAGACCGCTCGTGTTGCGACCGAAACGTCGTGGGTTTTTTTCACTTTTAATTTTATTTTTTTATTTTTCGTTTTATTTTCTATCTACGTGACTTTGCCGAAAGAACCAAAGGATATGAATTCCTGCAGTCACGAAAGTCGAATTTGCCGCGAAAGCACCGCGCTGTACACGAGTTGACTCCGAAGAAAGTTGTTGAGCGTTCTGCGTGTGCGTTATAATAAGTTGTAGCAAGTTATTTTAAGTGTTTAGGAGTTGATTTACAATCACTTAAAGATGGACTCCGTACAAAAGACGAAGATCCCCCGTATAGCCTTCGGCAGGCTGCTGGGGCAAGTGCTGTTAGCGAGTTAGCAGCGTCTGTGAAGGCCGGCAAAAGGCACACGAATGGGTGGGCCGGTGGCCAGCGCCACGCCCGGCCGCCTTTGTCTCCCCAGCGGTTGCTTTTTACGCACCACGCCGAGTACTCATTTGAGGCTGAGTCGACCTAGGGGAGGCCCAGGACCTGTTCAGATAATCGTCGCTGGCGTTGGCCGTGAGCGGCACTCAAACTCGGGTCGCCGGGTTCGTAGCGCAGCGTAGCGCTAACCGCTACACTACCGCTCCCCACGTACATACACACACGCACATACATACACACACGCGTACACATACATACACACGTACATACACACACGCACATACATACACACACGCGCACACATACATACACACGTACATACACACACGCACATACATACACACACGCGCACACATACGATATAAAATACACATGCATGCATACATACACACATATATTCAACACACTTATACACACACTACACACCGCACAACGCATGCAAACTACACACGCCCACAATACAAACACAACAACAACAGCAGCCATTCATTGGGCCACGAAATGGCGGTGACGTCACCGCGACGCTTGTGCCAGGCTACGTGCACTCGGGACTAGGTGTGTGTGTACCTCATATGCAAAGACAAGGACAAATACCCCCCCCCCCCCCACCCCCGCTCTGTATAGGCCTCAAGCAGACTCTTGGGGCAAGTGCTGTTAGCGAGCACCTATTAAGGCAGGCCAGGGCAGTATTAACCAGGGCTGCCCCTGAGATCGAACCCACGAACCACTGCGGATGAGCTACCAACCTTTGAGACACGCCACCACTTACGTGTACTATATATATACAGTATATAGACAGTATATATACAACATATACTGTCTATATACTGTGTATATATGTACTGTCGTCAATGTACTCACAAGAACACGACTGTAGTTCACTGAGAATGGGGACGAAACGTCCCTCCCATGGTCTCTCTGTCTCTCTGTCGCTCTCATTGCTTCGGCAGGCCACGCACACAGCAGTAGCAAAGGCGCACTCCGAAACCGCGGCCACGCACCCCAGTTCGATTCCCGGCCGAGGCCATCAAGAAGATCGAGCGGCGGGCACCTGAGCCGGTCCTCCCTAGCCTCCGTCTTTCCGCCGAGTATCGATTCTGACTTCGGTGAGTGCCTCTTGGGGTGGTGTGTAAAACGTCGGCTACTGAAAGGAGCGGGGTGGGGGGGGGCGCTGCGGGGCGGACAGGGGCGGGGGGCGTGGAGGGAGAGGGAGAGACAAAGGCGGCCGGGCGTGGTGCTCACCACTGCCTTAATTAAAAGTCCTCTCTTAACGCGTGGCGGCGTTCACACTACGACGCGTTTTAGCTATCACGCGGTTCTTCCGTCAGGGAACTATTTCTCGCATAACGCGAGACGCCCACCCCGTTATAACGCGAGACGCCCACCCCGTTATAACGCGAGACACCCACCCTGTTATAACGCGAGACGCCCACCCCGTTATAACGCGAGACACCCACCCTGTTATAACGCGAGACGCCCACCCCGTTATAACGCGAGACGCCCACCCTGTTATAACGCGAGACGCCCACCCCGTTATAACGCGAGACGCCCACCCCATTATAACGCGGGACGAGTCCCGTTATAACGTGGAACGCGCCCCAATATAACGTGGAACGCACACCCCATTATAATGTGTAACACACACCCCGTTATAACGTGGAACGCACACCCCAAAATAACGTGGAACACACACCCCGTTATAACGTGGAACACACACCCCATTATAACGTGGAACACACACCCCGTTATAATGTGGAACACACACCCCATGATAATGTGTAACACACACCCCGTTATAACGTGGGACACACACCCCAAAATAACGTGGAACACACACCCCGTTATAATGTGGAACACACACCCCATGATAATGTGTAACACACACCCCGTTATAACGTGGGACACACACCCCGTTATAACGTGGAACACACACCCCGTTATAACGTGGAACACACACCCCGTTATAACGTGGAACACACACCCCGTTATAATGTGGAACACACACCCCATGATAATGTGGAACACACACCCCGTTATAACGTGGAACACACACCCCATGATAATGTGGAACACACACCCCGTTATAACGTGGAACACACACCCCATGATAATGTGGAACACACACCCCGTTATAACGTGGAACACACACCCCATGATAACGTGGAACACACACCCCATGATAATGTGGAACACACACCCCGTTATAACGTGGAACACACACCCCTGTATAACGTGGAACACACACCCCACTAAAACGTGGAACACACACCCCATGATAATGTGGAACACACACCCCATGATAATGTGGAACACACACCCCGTTATAACGTGGAACACACACCCCACTAAAACGTGGAACACACACCCCATGATAATGTGGAACACACACCCCATGATAATGTGGAACACACACCCCGTTATAACGTGGAACACACACCCCGTTATAACGTGGAACGCACACCCCATGATAATGTTTAACGCACACCCCAATATAACGCGGGACACACACCCCATTATAACGCAAGACGCCCACCCCATTATAACGCGAGACGCCCACCCCGTTATAACGCGGAACGCGCCCCGTTATAACGCGGTTCCCGAGCGAACCACTTTCACGAGCCGCGCAGCTGAGCGGCACAGAGGAACATCAGCGCTCCGGCGTACCCTCGCCCATTTGTCCGGCCATTCCGCCGCTTGGCGTGCGTAGGAGCGGTGGTGTGCGCTGCTTCGTATCTCTCAGAAAAAAAAACACACAAAGTAAACTTTGGCATCGCGACTACGTCATTTACGGGGGGGGGGAAAGCTTTTTTGCCGCTTTTGCGTGTTTTGAACGCTGAACGCGTGCACTCTCGGGGAGCGTTTCGAGCGGGGGGCTCGCTCTGCTGCTCGCGAACGGCAGCACCACGACAGCCTCACGTGGTGGTTTACTTATTGCGCGCGTGCGCTTGTTTAATAGGCGCTCGCTAACCAAGCACTTGCCTCTCCCCACCCTCCGAATCAGCCTTCAAACACGTAGCACACGCAACACACACACACACACGTGTGCGTTGCCATGGAGTTTTGATTGTGACGTCACAAGAGTCCATAGCGACGAGCAGTGGCAGCAGGACTCCATGCTGAGTCCGTGCCCATGCAAACAATAAATACCGTATCTATGTATAAAGTCCATCGAACGGTTAATTTATTTGAAAGTAAATATATTTTGCCATTGCAGACTAAATTCGTAATTAGGCGGCATTCGTTTGTTTGCGCAATGCAAGCCAGAGAGAGAGAGAAAAGAATAAAATAAACTCCGGACCTGGTTCGACATTTCCGGGGTCTCATCAGCAGAGGCTTTGCTTGCCGGATGATGCTGATCGGTCTGGAAAGGCGCGATACGTTTGGGTGCTGCGAGCGAACGGCACTTGCCCCCAAATGTGCGCTGAGGCTACACGGGGACATCTGTACCTTTGTCCTTTTTGTTTTGTTTGGTACCTGCGGCGCGTGTGACGCTCGGCGCAAAACGCAGAGGTTGATCGCTCGACCCGACCTCCAGGCGCGGCAGTTGAAATCATTGGAATGATGTTTTTCTCAACGAAAAAATCCTCGCCCGCCCCGTTGTTGGACGCGTTGGTGGGGTTAAAGTGTGGGCATCTCCCACCAGAATCCATGACGTCTAGCCCGACGTGGACATGTAGGCCCAAATAGTCTCCCTATGTCTCTCTCTCTCTCTATCGCTCTGTGTAGAGGAGGGCGAGTGTGGAGGTTTCTGTAGTTCAAGGCTTTCGCGACCCATATTATCCGTAATCGAAGGGGTTTTTTTGTGGGGGGGGGGGGGGGGGGGGGGGGGAGGGTCAGATAGCTTAAACATAAATACGTCGTTAAACCCTCCACCACCCATCAGCCAATTAGCAAAGGTTTGTCACGTAAACGAAGAAAAACACACGTGCCAATTAGTTACCAGTTCAGCACTGCGCAACATTTACAATGTGAGTCGATGGGCCAGGTCGCGTTGGTGGGGTTAAGATGTTGGCGTCTCCCACCAGAATCCGCGACGTCCAGCCCAGCGTGAACAAGTAGGCCAAATACTCTCTAATTGTCTCTGTGTGTAGAGGAGGGCGAGTGCAGAGATCTCTGTAGCTTAGCGGGGTAGTCGTAGTCTGCTTAAGCGACCAATGTTTATCCACGTTAAATTATTTTTTTTGTGTATTGGATCGCATAAATATGAATGCGTCGTTGAACTCCGCCACCGCTCGACAGCCGATTGGTAAAGGTCTGTCACGTTAAGAGAACAACAAACGTGGCAATGAGTTACCGGTTCAGCACACCGGTGTGTTGGAGAGTAAACCCACTACAATATTGACAATTTGAGTAGCGTGACGTTATGCTGGTGATCACAACAACAACAGCCCGTTTCATCGGGCGACGTGCCAGAATTGTAAAGAAGTAACCCTGTTTTGGTCTCAAATAGAGTAAGGCATGATGTTCACGGTAGAAAGATGTTAACTACCTCGCCTCGTATACAGGAGGTCGTGGATTCGATCCCGACCCTGACGCCTGCTGTATATGTGGAGTCTGCGTGTCTATCTCTCTCTCATCATCATCACGGTGGCTAGGAGATGTTAACTACCTCGCCTGGTATACAGGAGTTCGTGGGTTTGATCCCGACTCTGACGCCTGCTGCTGTATTTTTGGAGTCTGCGTGTCTCTCTCTCTCTCATCATCATCACGGTGGCTAGGAGATGTTAACTACCTCGCCTGGTATACCGGAGTTCGCGGGTTTCATCCCGACTGACGCCTGCTGCTGTATTTTTGGAGTCTGCGTGTCTCTCTCTCTCTATAGTCGCGTGGATTTTACTCCGGGTCCTCCGGTCTTTCCCTCCACACTGAGAATCAACGTCACGAGTTGAGAGCATTCGGCTGTTATAAATATCCACACGATGATGATGATGATGAGCCCACTTCGTTGAGCTATCATTTGTGCTAGCCAGGTCGATTCTGAAAAAACGATCCGTATAGCTCAGATGAGCCCTACCAGGTGAATAAAAAAAAATGTTTTGTTGATAGTTTAGTTTAAAAGGCGATGCCATCACGGCTCTCTGTCGTTTAGCAGTGGCTAAAACGGAGCTGTTGCAGCGCTGCGCCTTTTGCATCTTAATTTAAATGCCTCTGCGGATACGGCATACGCAGCTGACTTCGTACACACGAGCAAGCATGGTGATGATTATGATGATGAAAAGGCGCCTTAGGGTTTGTACTTTAAACATCTGCGCGGTTTCGTTTTGGTTGCGGTGACTAATACTAATAATAATCACAATGCGCTGTCTTGCAGACGAATTCATGTTTGTATTTGCGTGCAGAATTATAATGATGACGATGGTTTTGTTGTTGTTGGTGGTGGTGGGCGTGTGTGTGCCTAAGCGCGTTTAATGGCATTTAATTTTCTTCTCTGGTCCTTTCGGTAAAGTCACCACGTAGAATGAGAATAAAATAACAAAAATAACACAATAAAATTCTCACGACGTCGTCACCGACAGTTCTGTACCTTTCACCTGAAGACGGCCGCTTGCGTTGTGGCCGAAACGTCGTGAGAATTTTATCGTGTTATTTTATTATTTTATCCTCATTCTGCGTGACTTTACCGAAAGAACCAAAGAAGATGAATCCTTGCAGTCACGAAAGCTTCGAATCGGCATTTAATTTATTGTGGGGAGCGGTGGCGCGGTGGTTGACGCCGCTTCGCGCTGTGAACCTGGCCACCGAACATCAGTGACGATTCTCTGAACCGGTCCTGAGCCTCCCCTAGGTTGGCTCGGCCTCAAATGACTACGGAGCCTGCTGTGGTGTCTAGTGAACATCGCCACGGGAGAGACAAAGGTGGTTTGGTTGCGGTGCCGGTGACACCCACCCCGCTCACGTGCCACAGTGCCGGTCTTCGTCGGATGCTGCTCGCTAACAGAACTCGCCCCCACGGTCTGTCGAAGGCGCTACACGGGGGCTCTTCGTCTGTTAATTGGTACTTTAACTGGGGAGTCGTTTCAATTAAAGCGACGAGGAGCGATGCTCGCTGCTCTCAAGGCGCTTAAAGCTCAGCAGAGCCGAAACATTAAAACACACACCCAGAGAC